ACAATTACCGCTCAGCTGCATGACTTCACCTCCGTCCACGCACAGCACCGTGCGTGTCCCCGAAATGTGTAGGAGCACCACAGGAATACCTGTGAGTACCACAGCGAGACCCACCAGTACCACAGCGAGACCCACCAGTACCACAGCCATACCCACCAGTACCACAGCGAGACCTGCGAGTATCACAGCAACGCTCGTGACAAACCACACCTTGCTCTCCCCCACCTAAACCTTTTTTTTTTCTTTTTGGGGTGTATGAAGCACACCCCAAGGACCCGAGGCCACCTGAGTGACCCAAAAACCCCTTATCCCAACCCAATTTTTCCCGGGCCAAGCGGGGAGGGCCGGGGCCGCCCGGGGGTGTCCCGGAGAAGGCCGGAGCCCCTCACGCCGCCCACCCCGGATCCCCCACACCCCCCGCGCCCCTCTCGTCCCCTCAGCACCCCCCGGGCCGTGCCTGCCCCCGGCCCCACCGCTCCTCACCCGTGAGGCCGCCCCCTTTGCCGTGTCCCCGCCGGCGCTGGAGCAAGAAGAAGGGGTTGGCTCGCTCCGTCACCCACAGCGCGCCGGCCAGCAGCACCTCCTCGGGCCCCAGCCACATGGCGGCGGCTCGGCCCGGCCCGGTTCGGCTCGCTTGGGCCCGGCCCGGCCCGGCCGGAGCGCTGAGGGGGTTGGTGCAGGGGGAGCGGCCGGGCCGCTCCGCGCCGCCCGGTCACGGGGCCGCGCCCGCCGCCATGGCGCCCCCTGGCGGCCCGGGCCCCTCACGGCAGCGGGGCGGTGCCGTGCGGCCGCCGTGGCGCCGCGGCTCGCTCCGCAGGCTCCTCAGCGGGGAGGTCGCGGGTTCGAATCCCGCTCCCGGGTGCTGCGCGGTGGGGTTTGGCTGCTTGATTTACAGATGTTCTGGTCCCCCTTCTTGGCACTTCAGCGGGTGCAGGGAGCTGGGTGCTGCACAAAGCACGGCACTCACCGCCGTGCTGTTGGGAACTGGGGAGATCTTTGCCAGGTTGGCTGTAATTTGCCATGCTAATGCTTACATACTGACACCGGGCAGGTGAAAAATCTCCCCCTGCAGCCCTGTGGGATCCATTGACATTCACTAACAGGGGTTATTTAAATGCTCTCTCCCGTTGTACACGCTAATTTACTGGTGCACAGCTCCACGGGCTGCTCTGTGGGGCTGAGGCCTGCTCCCCAAATGGCGGCTCCCCCACTGTGGCCCTGGCCCTGGAACAGCCTCCAGCAATGTTGGCAGTTCCACCGCTGCTTTGGGGAGAAGTGAGGACATTTACCCTTTTCCTGAGCACCTCTGGTGGCTCAGGCTCGACCCTGCACCTCCTCCCGGCTGCTGGCTTCATTCTGATCCTTTCCTTTGGCAGATCTGGAGCCCATCATGGCCGGCACTCAAGCCCGCGGTGGGTCCCTGCAGCAGTGGAGCAGGAGGCACGGTGCTTCCCCGGTTCTTGGCCGCTGTTTTTGTTTCAATAACCACCAGAGAATCTCCCCACAAATTCCAAAAGTGTCACAACAGCAGAAAATATTGGCGGCTACCATCCCCGTGCTTACTGCCAGGCTCCCAGGAAGGCGGGAATGCCGTGTTTTCCTTAGGCCATCAATCCTTCAGCCCTGGGATGATTTATCCTCAGTGTTAGTGCACTGCCCTAATCCCGGCTGGAGCCTTTGTGCACTACTGTAATATAAATATTTATTAGCTGGCTGAGCGTTCAAGGCTCTGCTTTCATCGTGATAGCATGGCTCTGTGTGGGAGCAGCGTGCTGGCTTTTGAATGCTGGATCTGCTGTGGGAAGGGGCCGAGCATGGGGCAGGTCCCTGGGGCAGTGGGTGACGGGGAGATGCTCAAACGCTGCCCCACACACCCTGGGACTGGGGGCAGCTTGGCACCTTCCAGGTGGAAAATGGTTTGAGAACATGGGCTAGTGTTTTCTAGATGGTAATGTGCCACTTTGAGCCATGGGGCTTTTAATGGCCTCAGATTTCTAGGCAGTGGTATAGAAAAATAAATCGGTGTTTTCTATAGAGTAGGAAAATGTTCTCTGAAAATGGATCTTTTAGCAGTGCTGTTCCACAGTACCCTGTGAAGTCTGCGCTGAAGTTCCTGTGCGATGCTCTCAGCCTCCCGTACTTTGAGAGACACCAAGCTCACAAACGTTGTACTTTTAAATTGCTTTTTATTGAAATGTAGTACATTAGCAAACCCTAACTAATAGGTATACACTATTAACATAATGGGCATATACCACGTAACTACGATACAGTGTTATACTTACATCAAAATATGTCACCCAGTCCCGCAGCTCTCAAGCTACCCTCTCGCAAGAGCCCGAGTGATGTGACACTCAGCACAGCGTCACGTCGCCGGACCCGTGGCAGCTGCTGCCGTTTTCAGGTTGTGTTCATGCCGTGTTGTGCCGCCTTGCATCAAGCCAGCTGGATTAGACTTTTCGTTTTACACACACGCAAATTGTGTGTTGTGTTTTTTTTTTCTGTTCGCTGCAGTGCCCCAGTCCCAAACCCTTTCTGCTGCCGGAATAAAATGACCCCGTTTCAGTGGATGCTGTGCGTAGTTAGTCATGGTCTCAAACGGGTGATCCCAAACAAACACGGTCCTACAGAGAGGCTTTTAGTGCTTTACAGCTACTTGGAGACTGCAGCAGGTCTGACCGGCTGAGCAGAGCTGCTGTCACCATCTCCCATTTACAGGACTAGTGCGACAGCTCCTACCAGCCCCGAGATTTCAGTCTAGATGTTCGGGGTGGAAAATATCTATCTGCGGATGTGGGCTTTTCTTCCTGCAGCACAAGCACAGGTTTGGGCCAGCCAGGCGGCACTGGCATGCGGTGCCCTTCACCAAGCATCACATTGTGAGGGCAGATGCTGCCCGGGATATGCGAGGCTCTGTCAAAGCATATCGGGACTCCACGTGTGTAACACTGCAAGTATAATTTAGGACAGGTCAGACAAGCTTTATTCACCATGATCACAGGGAGAGAGCATCCAGGCAGCATCTCCCCTTCTGCTCCCCTGTTCTCTACACTGCAGCTGCAGAGACCTCGCTTTGGTACTGCTTCAAAGAAAGGGGAGAGGGGAGGAAAAAATCATTCCAGCATTAGCCCAGTGTCCACTGGGAGGGTTGGACTACTTCAGTAAGTGGTTAACTGCTGGGTTTGGCAATACAGAGAGCTGGCTCAAGGTGGAGCCTGGAGTGGCACATCCAGTGTCAGTGGGGGCTGGAAGCAATCACAGCTAGCTCTTCATCCACAGGAACGTTCTCTGAGTTACAACAAACTGCTCAGCCAGACCTCTCAAATCTGAAGTGTCCCTAACTTCACCAGCACAGTTCTGAAAGCATTATAGCTTTGCTGTAATGGCCCCGAAGACACTGAGATTAAATTCGGCTGGTTTTAGAGCACCACAGAGCATCGACTGTGTTTTGAACCTCAAAATGTCCTGTGCTGGGGCATGAGAGCTGTGCTGAGCTGTGTTTAATGCATGGTTCCAGCACAGGCAGGGCTCATACAGCCCGTACTGCCTGGGACAGCCAGAGGGTCACAGACCCAGGCACAGCAAGAGCAAACCTGGCCACCAGCTGGAATGGACGGGGTTTGCCTTCTTGGGGGGATGCCAAGCCCTGGAGCATGTGGGAAGCAGCAAAAATGGCAAATGGCACAGCAGAGCAAGGTGCAACGCCAACCCCAGGGCAGAGTCAAAGGCTGCTCGCCCCTGGGGGCACTGCTATGGGAAGCTCGCAACTCACTGCAGGCACTGCTGCAGGGGCCACTGGGCCACCTGGGGAGGGATTTTGGGAGACAGACGATGTCTCCTAGCAGATCTTTGGGCTGTGTGATGCTAACTCAAGTTACACCTCAGCCTTGCAACAAAATCACTCTGAATAGCTCCAACTTTTAACAAACCCCTCTATGCACTTCCGACTTCGCAGGAAGATTTATACTTAATTATAACTCTTTGGGGACGGGACTATGTCTGGGCAACACTTTGTACCATTGGTCCTGCGCACCTGGAGGCTGTGGATGTTCATGTTGCACCAACAACATCCAGCCATCACTGCACAACCCCAGGGTCCACCTCCACTCATCCATGTATCACCATCAGGCAGGCAGATACAGGAGGGGGGGCACCACACTTTTCTCGATTATTTCCAAGATCATTGAAGCAAAGCAGAACTGTGCAGTAGCCTGAAGAAGCCTGTTTCCCTCCTGACCTCCCCTCAGCCCAGTTAACTGGAGCACCTTCCCCTCCCCAAACCTCCCCTGCTCAGCCGGAGCCCAGCCTGCCCTGGCAGCAGCGCTCTGCAGTGCAGCAAGCCTGGCAGCGAAAGAAAAGCAGCGAAGGTATTTTTAAATATAACAACACATATGCAAGCTGTCACGGCACAGCACGCGCTCTTCTGCATGGCTAGGGGTGGAAAATTAGGCCACACGTGGATGTGCAACGGGGGGGTGGAAAAGGAGCCAAAGCGTCGCCGGTGAAGCTCAGGGCGCTGCTGGGGACCTCCGGGCTGGGAGCAGCGCGGGGGCTCCCGTTCTCATCCCTCGGCGTGTGCGGTGCCGTGCGACTTTCTTGGTTGTAAAACCACACGGCTATTAGCTAAGCAAAGTATTTATGTATTTTTAACAGCTTGGTCAATTCACGCCCCGCTAACCACGCCGCAGAGCTGCCCTAAGTGTGCGCTCAGCCCTGGTGCCCCCCCTCCTCCTGCGGTTACGACCAAGCCTCGGCTCTGCCAGGCCTTCGCACTGCTTCACATCAGCGTCTTCAAACAAAACAGATGTGCAGAAGTCTCACAGAACGGTCCTAAACAGATTTATTTAACTACCATGTCCTTCTTTGGCTTATGTAGGATATCCGGCTATTCCTAAATCATCCCCACGTGCCGAGGCAAGCATCCTAGAAGCAAGGGGGGCAGCGCAAACAGGCACCAGCACGTGAGCTTACTGTGGGGAGTAATCGTAAATGGCATTAAGTAAATTTTATCATGCTTCAAATTTAATATTTAATGTTAGCATTATAGGTAAAAAGCACACTTACAGTCTGTTTTTTTAACCGTCGGTTATCCTCTAAGAACACAAGCAAACCTTGATTTTACAAATGTCTTATGGGAAACATGCAAAACTTTCGTAAAACAGGAGATGTGGGGAGGGGAAAGGGAAGGTGAGGTGCTAGGGTTTAGACAGCTTAGGGAAATACTTTGAGATAAAAGCATTTTTTGTATGTAGAAGTCATAAAATTAATGTTTTCTGGTAAAAACACTTTTTTTTTTAACCTTAAAAATCATTTTCCAAGTTACTGACCTACAGTTCTTGGTAGATCGCCGTATATCTGACTTCTATGAAATGACTCGACCGTACACAGCACCACTGCAGCAGAACAAGAACAACGATGCTCATCAAGCTTTTTTTTTATATACTGATTAATATTAAAAGGAAAACCTCAAACGGAGCAGCACAGCCCAAAAAAAATCACCCATGCTGCTGTGCTGCCTCTTTTCCATCCTAACTATGACTAAGTACAAGAGTGCCTGGTACGGCCTGTCCCAGCACGCGCGGAGGGATCAATTGCTCGAACTGGCTTTTAACGTTTCCAGTGCTGCAAGATTTTCCAAATCCACAACATCAAATTCTGATCGTCAGCTCCAGCTGCCTCTCCGCTCACTGACTCCGCTCCGGCACTAACCCAACTTTAGATTGCTGTGCCAGACCCCCAAGCGTCCCGATCAGAGGCAAACCTTGCCCCCTGCCCCCATTAAAATTTATCTAGTTTGGAAATAAGCAGATTTAACAAAGCACAGGTGACATTATTTATTCATTTGCCTTTTGGGGCTTTGCATTTGTTAACGCTTATTTTGATTTCCATCGGCTTTCGGGCTGCTCTCCGCCACTCTGACACGCAGCGGGTGCGAAGTGGCCAGTTCTGTTCAAACAAAGGAACCAAACCACCAAACCACCCCACGCCGACCAAAGCAAAGCAAAACAGGAAGCAGCGAGGGGGGAGACTTTCCGTGCTCGCAGCTCCGGCGGTCAGAGGCTTGCGGAGCCATCCCCAGGCAGCCCAGCAACGCCGCTGGTCGGCAGCACCCATGGGTGCCAGCAAGCAGCTCGCCTCGCAGGCTCGATGGTGCTTCCCCAAAAGCCTCCTCGGAGCAGTGCGGGTGGGTTTTTGCTGTTTCTTCCCTTGCTTGCTGGGGCGCTGATGGTAAAGCTAGGGTTGAAAATACCCTGCCGTGCGGCACGAGGCCGGGAGGCATCACTCGGGCTCACTTCTTCCTGGGAAAAATGTGCCATGGGGAAGTCCTCTTGGTTTTGGGAACCCCCTGCAGCCGGCTGGCCCAGGACTTGCTGGGAGCTCCCATGCCCCCAGCATCCCATCCCACCAAAACCCCACTCCAGCAGCTCCGCGTTGGGAGCTGCAGCACAACACGCTGGCATCCCCAGCTGGTGCTACTCGATTTAACCACAAACACCCCTGTACAGCTTTCTGTAACCCGACCACAAACAAGCCCTGTAACACCCTCGAGCGACAGTGATTTTTCTTTCGGGTGCTTGTTTTCGGAAGCTCCCTGCCCGCCGCCACCTGGCAGACGCAGTGATGGAAGCCAGGCTTGCTCAGCTGCCGCCTGCCGTGTCCCAGCCTGTGTGTGCCGGGTGCCACCAGGGGCTTTGCCCAGGCCTGGGGCGAGAAAAGCAACCGACCTGCCCCAGGGCAAGAACCAGGCTGCTGCTTCCTGCCGCCTTCACACAGCCTCACAGCTTGGCAGGGCAAAGCGGGTGTTAAAGCTGTGCTCTGAAAAAGCTCGGGGCGTAAGCGTATTTCTAGGGTTAGCTGAATCGCAATAAAAGTGCACATGGTAAATGGAAATGTGGGTTTTACGAGAAAAAGCTCTCTAGACTTCACACCGCCCGTTCTTGAATTATCAGATTAAATGAAACTGATGCACAGCAACAGAAGTCAAGGCATGCTCTGCGAATAGGATCGTTTCCTCATTTTACAGAGCTGGGCTTTTTTCTCTTCAACATCTGTGTAAAAGACACAGCCGAACCACACTTCAGGTAAGGATATATGTCAAGCAGACTTACACAATAAAAAGAAAAAACAAAGCAGGGGAATTTCCCCTGCTTTTAGTAAAAGCTGACAAAATTAAAGCACGGAAGGGTATGTCTTACCTTTCTTTTTGGCTTACTGATTTCTCAAGTTTCCTATACAGAGTGAAGCTGTGTTTCACATTACAAGGACACAAATGCATTTCTACATCTACAGTAACTTAGACTGCAATGGAGACAACGTTAACATCCATTAAACAGCCACGCATCGTCCAGGAGGAAACGGTGAAGCAGCAGCTCTCACTTCTCCGCGTCTGCTCACCTGGGGAGCACCACGGACTGAACTCCAGAGGTTCTCCCTCGCGCTGTCCATCTCCGCGTTACTTTTCAGAAGCTTGAAAACAATCTTCGTTTCCCCACTGCTTCTGGCACACTCTGGTAAAAAGGGATTTTCCTGCCAAGTCTCAAAGCGGTTGCTGCTTTCCTTTATTCTTCTGCTTTCTGCATTCACATTACTGATGGCAGTGGGAAGGGGCACAGCTTAGAGAACGTGTTTTATTTAACTGTTGAAGATCTCAATGGGAGAATGGGATAAGAAGCTTACCTCTTTGCTTCTCTGTGTAATGCCAACACGCTGGCTTTTACAAATCTTAGTGAAAAGTTTGGTGGATTTTTTAACCTCCCCCCCAAAAAAAGTAAAGCGAGAAAGACAGCTAATTAGATTCCTGCATATTTCAAGAAGTCTAACGATTTTCAGGTAGATCAAGTGCTGGTTCTGTCAATGTCCTCTCTGTAGAAAGAGACTCACTTGACTGGAGCACACGGAAGGACCAAAAATATATTCTGTTAGGCCACTTTCCTCCTGCTTCAATAGAAATGGAGAAAAAAATGGAAGCATCAAGTTCCTTGAAACCTTTCTGCAAACGCAGGGCCTCTCTGCAGCTTTAATGTCAGACTGGCTTGCTATTGCCCAGGGGTGAGCGGGTTGTAGGAAACTCAATGCACTTGTAAAGGTCCCTCTCGGAAGGGGATATTTCACAGTAAGGTTATGGACTGACCGAGATATACGGAGTGCTTTTACCAGTCACTGGCCATCTCCTCTGCAACTAGTTCCCTTTCTGACGCTGCCCAACTATCCGGACGATTAAAAAACGGAAACAGCAGACGCCTATTGAAGAGACGCATTCGCAGTACAAAACAAACTCTTAGGACCACCGCAAAGCCTCCTCTGCATCGCCGCGGCTGGGCCGACACAGCTCCCCATGCTGTTACTCAGCCATTTCCATCAGACAACCTTGCTGGCGCACGCTCGGAGAAGCCACCCTCAGAAACCACCGCAGCTGGTCTTCATCTCTGCGATCTAGAAGGCGGGCTTGTGTTCTGGAAAAAGCAGCTCTTCTTCAGACAAAGGAGATCCATGGAAAGAGTACACAACAATAGGAATGAGAAATGAAAACAACGGAAAAAGGGCCAAGAAGGAATCTGGATTCCTTTCAGGTTTTGTTCTCGTCATACATGTCCAAAGCGGGCTCGATCGTTGAGAATTCGCTCTCGTAGACCAGACTTCGCGGGGACAGAGAATTGCGATGAAAGAAGTGGCTGCCTACAAGAGGTAGAACAAAACCTTGTTAGGAACACACACGGACAATGTAAGAACCGAGCAAAGCATCCTCATGCACGGGTTCTGACCACAAACACAGCACGTGTGGCCAGCAAGGCCGCCCTCTTCATGCAAACCAGCAACAGGAGCATGGGACAGTTCGCAAAGGAGAGCTTGGGAGAGATCCCAGCCTGCACGGCCTCGCCCTCCCGTGCAGGAGGGGGCACCTGGAAAATAAGCATTTATTCGGTACTGCCAGACACTGAGCTGAAAGAGACTCTGGTGACAGGGCCAGCCCTGCTGCCCTCTCCTGTCATGTCCCAGCTCAGGGCAAGCAGCAGTGGCCACAAAAGCCTTGGATGATGCCAAATATCTTCCACAGGAGTTACCAGTTTAAACACACACGTCACATCCACCATGTCCCTCTGAGGGCCTGGCCATGGGGTTGTGGCCCCACAACCTCAACCTGTGAGGTGCACCTCACCATTGGCCGACCTCACCTTCGTGCCATATGGTTACCATTTTGGACTTCCCCCTGCGGTGCTGCAGGGATTTGCCTCCCTCCACACCCTGCCAGTTCCAAGTGCTGCTTTCCATATGCATGAACCCCACTGCAAATGGCGCTCCCAGATAAAACAGGTCAAGTCTGAGCGAGGCCGGGGCAGGCCCAAGTTTCACACCACGCCTCGGTGCTCGTTTACGGCCTCATGAAGCAGGTTTTCCTCCAGAAAACCAGAAACCTTTGGTAGGTGCCCCGTGTCCTACACTGTGCAAGGCAGAAATCTCGGCAGAGGCACCCATGTGTTTCCTCACACAGAACCCAAGAAGCCCCAACTCTCTCCAGATGTAGTTTGTGAGGAGCCCAGCCCCGCTGGCGTACACCAGGTTTTCTCTGGAAGCATCTATCAGATCAGGCCCTCAGCCAAAACATTTCATTACCTGGTTTCTCGATCCCAGCTGGGATTAGCTGGGAGCAAGTCTGCTTAGATAACAATACACCAGGCATCCACGCCAGCCAAATTCGAGGCAACTGAAAAGCTTCCAAGTTCATCAAGAAGGCACTGAGCAAACTAAGGTGCCTCCAGCTTCAGGCACCAGTGGAGCAAGAAGCTTAGGGGATTGCATCTTTAGTCTTGATGGAATTTAGGTGCTTAAATCCTTTCTTTGTCAAATTTTGGGACCAGCCCATGCTATTCTAAAACAAAGAGCTTACAGAAGGTACAAGGGAAGAATTCAGCTGCTACCGTCCTTGACAGCTTTTCCTCCTTCCCTGCTCACCCAAAAGAGAGTCTCAGAAAAGAAAAAAAGTCATTGTTAGGATTAAAAAACCGAACAGCTAGAGTAATAATCACATGTGCAACATGTCTACTGCCAATCTCCTAGCCATGCTCCGAACCTCTGCCTTCTACCCCTAAAAGCTACCGCAGAGATCAGAGATTCATTCTGCCATTCTCATTGAGAATTGGAAGCTCTCAAAGGTAATTAATTAATTTTTGATCTCACAATTAACTGAAACAAGCGGTTTCATTGTATGGGAGCACATATGCAGGCATTTGGAGGAAGCATATTATCTTGGCACGTACTTTGCAGAAGTGGTCAGTAGCATATCACGAACACCCGCCTAAATTTGAATCCTGTCCCAGACTTAAAGGTTTCTAGAACTGGACAGTGCTTAATTGAAAAAAAATATATATTTTTTTGAACATTGACTTGGGACCATGACCTTCAGATGGTATCAGTCTACCTTCAAACAACAACAGCAACAACAAAAAACCACAAAACAAACAAAAAAACCCACCCTATTTTGGAATTGTAGCGGATAAAACTGATTTCAAAATTCTTCTGCACTGTGTTATGGGTCAGGATCATTTTATTTGTGATGAGTGAGTCTCAGCTCGCTGTTGAAATAAACCATGAGTATTGCATGTTTCATCTCCCTTTTCTCCACCCGCTGAAATGTTACACACCGCACAGCCAATGCTGAAACAAAACAAAGGGGATTCTAAAAGCTCGGTGCTGCTTTTGTTTTTATTACATGAGATTCAAACAAGGGCTTAGGAAGCAGACAGCCGAGGCAGTCATTTCCTCTGTGTGTGGGGAGACTTCCACTCTAACTGATTCGAGGGAGAGATTTAATCAAGAGGCAGACAGGTCATCTGACAACCAACTTTTTAAATTAATCTGAAAAAAGGCACTGTATATCCAACACCTCCAAAATTCTTTAGTGTGATGTCTTCTGGCCTCTTGGCAAAAGAAAGTTAGCCCCCCCACTTCCAGGGAGGCTGCATGGTTTCGTGCAGATACAGACTGCTTTGCTTTTATATCACCTTCAGGACACATCACTCATCCTTTTTCTTAATGTTACGACCGCCTCACCCCCTTTATTTTGAAAGCACCTGAATCATGTAATTTTTTTCCAGAGAAAGTAGCCTTATTACTACTTTCACAAGCATTATGAGCATACTAGACAACATTTCTAAACATGTTTTTTTTAAAACAAAACAAAAAAAACACGTCAGCATGCAACCTGCCTACTTTCTCTCAGATAAAGGACACCAAAACAATACACTCCTCCTTACTCAGTTTGTTAAATCAGATATACATATTTTTTAAGGCTTAGGCAGTTTTTCTTCCCATCTCCCACAGAAAAGCCCACCGGCAACAAACACGTAGCTAACCCTCTGTGAGCAGGGACGTGCATTTCCAGGCATCACAAGGAGGGCAGGCTAGGCGGGACACCGCAACATGCCAAGGCTACCCCCAGGTGCTAAGCTTCCAGCTGCTGCTTGGTGCTTTTCCACAGACCTGCAGGTGCTCTACGAACCAGATCGGTATCATCACCCGCATTTTCCAGAGAGGGAAGCAGAGTCAGCAGGGCAAAGCGACCCAGCTCTGCTCATCTCCTAGCCAAATAGCAGGAGGTGGAGAAGGCTCTGAACCCATCGCCCCGCCAGCCAGCACCACTACCCCTGCTCGCAGGGGCTCTGGCCAGTTCTTGTTTGCAAGAAGCCAGGGGGAGTTCACACACTAGCACCTTGCCCGGTGCGATTTCTTTTTTCTCTTAATGCAGAGAACTGCTAGTCATTGTTTAAAAATACAGCATTAGTCTACAGGATACATTTACTGAATAAATATAGTTTAAGGTCAAGTAGAAACAGCCACACTTCTAAATTCAGCTTATGAACCCGCTCTTTCCATTTGGCACTTACCAAGATCAGGATTTATCCCTTAGGTATAAGAAACAAACCAGAAGTCAGCATTCAGTTTTGTCAGCATTCAGTCTTAATGAATGAAAATTAATTCCTCAGTGCTCTCCACCACTATTCACTGTTGTACAGTTACAATGAACTTTTCAGATAACTTGAATTGAGTTTGAGCTGTTCTCAAACTGTTCTCAAAGTTGTTCTCAAAGGCCTGCTAGCCTGGAATTTATCCCTGTGCCTACCATGGGATGCTACAGAAGCAGACACGAAGGCCAGGAATTGCACCAGGCCTTGCTGTAGCATTAGCTGGAAGCATCAGCTGGTGTTACCTTTCTATTTTAAAGTATTGTAACACCCTCAGGGTTGCTAATCAGGGCCACCTATGCCGTAAGCTCCAGTCCCTCCACATATCTGGCATTGCAACGTCTTAATGTGGAAACACAGAGCACAATCTCAAACAATCTGTTTTATACACCCTGTTGGTTAAGGAAGAGAGCAGGATTATTTCATAAAGCATCCTTTCCTCGAAACACGCTGTCTAGCAAGGTATTGCTGCTCCCTCTTGAGCTATAACACGTAACACTGCTCTGTCACCCCAGTCTTGCTCTCTTTGCAATGCCTGGGCAAAGGGACCACCCTCTCCTTTCCTCCCATTACTATTACGACAAACTATGCATGTGTCATTCAACTTTTACACATGGATACCCGAAAGCATAGCAGACAACAAAAACTTTGGGAATTTCCTTCTTGTGTCTACCCAGTGCAAAAAAAAAAAAAGTTAGTGAGCATCTTGTAATGTTGCAGTCCATCTTTGAACATATTTATTTCATTAGCAGGTTAAGCTTTATCTCTAGCCTGACCTGCAGTTAACCTAGAAAATACTATCTGTATCTGTTAACATTTTGTGGAGATAGTTGTTAGAGGCTCGAAACAAATTAAAAAAAAATATGGTCGTAGGTTATTTAGATCCCTGAGGAGGGAAATGCAGCGGAAGCCCTGCCAAGAACTTTGCTCCCAAGATCACTGAACTTCTCATCCTGCTGCTGCTCTGTAGAGGAAATGTGAACTGGAAATGTTTGCGGTGCCCTTCGCAGCTGGGTCACCACGCTGCTCAGGCTTTCCCTGCACATCCCTCCCAACTGCATTAAAAGGCACTTGAGGATTTTTGTTCCAGAAGACAAGCACTAACAAACTCACCTATTATGCCGCTGGCGCTGAGAAGTGGGTGAAGAAAGTAGCCCTTTTATTTTGTAGCCTGTACCCTAAATTGTGCTCTGTCCTCATTCCTGTTTCTTTTTGGCAACAATGCTCAGTTGACAAACATTTTTTCCAAAGAAACAGTTTTCAGACCCAGAATGCTTGAGGTTTTTCTGCTCCTAAGTACAATGGGGTTTTCCATTCTTTCAAAATACACTTACTGCTCTATTGTTTTCATGTTTCTTTCAAAATTTCACAAGGACACAACAAAAAAATAATTCTATTAAGCATACTGAAGCTATCACATACGTCATTTTTAATTATAAAAGTTGCCTTCTCAGCCAAAACCTACTGGACAGATAAGAATTAAGCAACTGTTTTAATGTAGACTCTGGCTGTGTTCCTAGATTCTAAAAGTGCCTATACATAAAAATAAAATTAAATTTTCTATTTCCCAGTACATAAAAAAATTAAATTTTACAGTAAAATTGTTTCCCTCAATTCATTTAATTAAATTAGAAAGTATAAAGTTTCAAATATCTACATCTTGATACCAGAAAAACAAAACACCCCACGCCCAAAACTCAGAATAGGCTTTAACTT